TGCACACGAAGACAGGAAATGGGTTGACTTGATCAGACAACACCATTTGGACTTATTCAAACATTAATGCGCGCAGGTGGTATACAGTCCAGCACAGGACATCGTGGCTTCTAAATGTACACAGACGCCGTTCAAACCCTGTCCCATGTACAAAGCTAATGCGGAAGGATGAAAGCTGGCTGAGAAACCTTTTCTCTGGTGTGACAGTCCTGAATGCATGAAAAACCTTGGCAAGGTACTTTCAAAACAAAACAAAACAAAAAGCCATTTTCTAGAGATGGCATAGTCTTGGGATAACTTTAACATATTCTTCCTACATTCTATATTCCATGGAACTCCTATTATTTTTTGATCTTATAAAGTACAAACTAGAGACATTTCCCTATGCCTCTAACAAGATATACCTCATACGTAGAACAAAAAATGCCCATTGGATGCACAACATTTCTCATGCCAGTGAGTATTAGAAGCTCTTGTTTAGGTTTGTTTTTTTGTTTATTTAAAGTATTTACATACTGTCTTATATTTCAATGAAATATCAGGACAGTTTACAAGCAGCAACAACACATTAACAATACAACAGCTCATCAATAAAAGAAGTATGCAATATATAGGGTAAAGGTTTCCCCTTGATGTTAAGTCCAGTCATGCCTGACTCTAGGGGGCGGTGCTCATCTCCATTTCCTGGCGGAGGGAGCCAGCGTTTGTCCGCAGACAGTCTCTGTGGTCATGTGGCCGGCATGACTAAACACTGAAGTGCACGGAATGCTGTTACCTGCCCACCGAAGTGGTACCTTTTATCTATTTGCATTTGCATGCTTTCAAACTGCAAGGTTGGCAGGAGCTGGCACAAAGCACGGGAGCTCACACCATGTGCGGATTCGAACTGTCGATCTTTCGATCAACCAGCTCAGTAGTTTAAACCACTGCGTCACCTGCCGTCTCGTGCAATTTATAAAATACATTATAAATACAATCAAAAGTTAAAATACTGAAAAAATAAAAAGGGTTTAGCCTAGTGTCGAAAAGAATACAGAGTTGGTGTCAGGTGTACCTCCCTGGGGAGCAGATTCCAGAGTTGGAGCAACTACCACTGAGAAGGCCTTTCTCCTGGTAGCCACCCTGCTAACCTGTTTCAAGAGGGCTCCTGGAGAAGGACCTCCACAGATGAGCTTATGGTCTGGGTAGGTAGATATGGAAGGAGACATTACTTCAGATAACCAAGTTGCTCTATATCATATGCTGGACACAAAGACTACAGTCCTACCCCAGTTGTGATGCCATATTCTTAATGATTTTGCAAGTATTCTTCTGCAATATAAGAAAACTAAAACTGGGGAAGGAAAGTTGGTGTGCACAGTGTTTTCTACATCTCTGCATGCTCGGCTGCTCTTAAAGGTCTTCATGCATCCAGCAAAGCAGTCTTAAGCAAATTCAGGCTTAGAGAGTGCAACACAATTGGGAACTGTGTCTTAACAGTTGGGAACAACGCAGCTCACAGGGTTGCTGTTGTGTGGATAAAATTGAGAGCAGGAGAGAATGATGTAAGCCAATCTGAGATTGTAGTAAGAAAAAAAATGGGATATGAATCTAATAAACAATAATAAATCTAATAATAAATGCACATACATAAAAGAGCTGAAAAGAAAAGTATATGGGAGGGTTGGAAGGACTTTTGTGCACACCCACAACCCCCCACCCCCATTTTAGCATTCATGTGTTGCAGGTAAAAGCTTGCAGAAGAGGCCTGTGATTCAACTCCAGTGATTTTCTCTTAAGGGTCCTGAAGTCTGTTCTCTTCAAGGAAGTTATATGGTTGCTGGTTTCAGATTGCAATCCATGGGAGCCAGATTTGTCAGAATGAAGTTCCTCCTTTTCTGGTTAAAAAGGATTTTGGTTCCATAAATCCAAGCATTCTCCTAATTCCTGGTAGGGTAAGTTGTATTCTCCTGGATGATGAAGTCAGTATTAAAGGTCTCTGGTGAGAGATTGTAGAGCAGCAGTACACAGATAGTTTGATTCAGTATAAGTTTTCTATGTAAAAACAACCCAGAATGAGGTTTGCTTATCAACGGTTGTTGACTCACAGGTTGCCATTACATATAAACCCTGTGCTATGGCTTAACTATGGGTTGTTAACCATCAGCAAGCCAGAGTTTACGTCATAACAATCCATAGGTTCTGCTCCTAGCTTGTTCATGGTTAACAACCTATAGTAAGGGGTCACATATAATGACAACTCAAACTTATGTTCTGGATTGCTATGGCATGCAAATCAGGTCAAGACAGCTTCCTATGTTGCTAAATTATTTTTTCTATCAAAAATATTTGGGTTAATTTGCTACTTAAATGATTAAGTCAACATTTTTAGAAATGTTATAATATAAAGGGTTTTATTGATAGTTGGCTACTAGCTTTTTATGGTCATGTTGGGAGACCTGAAACTCATCTTAGATATGAATTCCAAGCCATTACACATATCCAGCAGAATGAGATAGTATAAAACTAGCATATTGGAAGAATGATTGTATATATGGCCCTCCCCATTATTTCACTACATTCATGCTGCAATTCTCTGTGTGTCTACTCAAAGGTAAGCTCCACTGATCTGCCTACAGTATGCATAAATGCATACAGGATTATAGCATAATACTATGCATGTTTATTCCAAAGTAATTCCCCACTGAATCCATGGGACTTACACAATTGGCACTGTTCACCTAGACACAGGCCTTTAAATGTTAAAGCAGCACTGTGAAATTCCCATGGAAAAGCAACTCATTCCCATGGCACTATTACTAAAGGACAATCAATGCACCATTTAATTCTTTGTAACATGTAGAGCAGGTACAGTTCACCGGGAAAGCATTTCTCTCTTATTCTCCATTCTCTAGCTTTAACATAAAATTATTAGACAGTGACCTATCTCACAGGGTCATTATGAGAACAGGCTAAACATTTTAGAACACATTGTACACTTAGTATTGTTATTGCTAGGCAAAAGGTTCTCTGGTTGCATAAGGGATGTGAGCTGCTTAAAATTTTGAATTAATATATTATATGCATTTTATGCAAGGGAGATTAAAAGTCAGAATGATGGCTGCTTGGCACTTTTATCATCAACCTGGAAAATGGATATAAGAATTTTATTAATGTACTATGTGGTATTGAGAAGTTTTATGTATTTGTTATTAGTATTATAAAACACCTTTCTCTGTATTACCTCATATTCACTGTGAGAGATATGTCTATATTAGGAATAAATGGTAATATTTTAATTCTGTAGAGTTTATTAGTAACATCATGCATGATCCATCAGGTTCCAGCAATGTGTGCAAACACTGTGTAGATAAAGTTATGTGAATTTATTATCACCCAGTGTTAAAAGCATGAAAGTCAAGACACTGTAGGAAAAATTTCCTCTTTTTATTCTATAGAAGCGGGAACCTCCAAAAAAGCCAATAACGGTACAGTTCTTATTGTGCCATCACTGTGCATGCACTTCAGGGAGGACAAGAGGCCAGGTTCCTGCCCGAAGGAGCTTACAATCTAAAACTGAACAGAGGAGAAATTGCAGAAGGGGAGGGAAAAGAAGGCAGTATTAAACTCAGTCAGTCACACATGCTTACGCTTGGTGAACAGACTCAAGTACTTTGCAGCCTAAGCCCAACCAAGTTCCTAGTCCTGCATTACTCTCAGCACCATTAGAGATAAAAACCTCTACACATTACACGTCTTGCTCCAGCTATATGCAGGCCCACTGTGATGACTTCCAAGCCACCATGTGTAGATTTAAACTACGACCATTTCAGCTTCATGGGCTAAAGGTAAGAGATGCGGCATGGCACTGGCATTGTACCACAGTTCAAACGTAAGGGCGAGATCTGAAATCTACACGGAGGGAAAAGTAAAGCGCAGCAAGTCTGGTAAACCCCAGCAGCAGCTCTGCAGGGAGAGGATACACTGAGGCAAAGCGACGGAAAGGAAGCAGGAAGGAGGAAAATCAGGCTTCTGAATGGAACCCGCCAAGCCAAGGCTCCTATAAGCAACCGCGACGCCGGGGCTCCTTTCTCGCTCGGCTCGTTTCTTCTTCCCCTCCCTCCATTTCACGGGTGCAAAGCTCCACCCTGCTCTCCACAGCCGCCTTCCTCGGTGCTCTTTAGAAACTCCGCTGTTGCTGCCACAGTATGCAAGCAGCCGGATTTCGCCCCGGCACGCACTCCGCACCCACCGCCGGCCCTGCCTCAGCTTCACCAGGCCCAATCCATTCAGCCCCAGCCCCCCGCGTCCTGATTGACACAGGAGTTGGTACATACGGGTCTGTCACACCGAAGGCAAGGGAAAGGGTATCGTCTTCTCTAAACATGGCTTTTCCTCTCCCCCCGCTCAGCCCCCCACTCCGTCTCTCCATGTTACCTTGGAGCCACCATTAGCACTAAGGCACAGAGGGAAAAAGCAGGCGGTCACAGGCCAAGGAGACAGTTCCCAAAGGGCGGAATGAGTTTCAAACACACACGCACACAGTTTGCACAGCTCGCACCGGTCGGAGTTTGCAAGCAGCAAACTCTTCCCAAGGGGAAGAATAAGACAACAGTGCAAAGAGGCAGCTGCAGCATTTCTAGAAGGAAACCCAGAGTTGTGGCATGCAGTTGATATTCAAGGGGACGATTAAAAACGGGCCTGGGGAACATGCACCAAGCACGCATGTCGCATTCGCTCCCCTGCACACGTACGCACACGCAATCGGATCTCCTATTCACATGTACACGGAGACGTCAGGCAACGCATTCGGCCTATTTTGCAACAGGCGGTTCAGGAGAAGAGAGGCGCGCAGGGAAGGCTAAGGGGACGGAATACCTCAAGCCAGGAGCGATCCGCGGCCTGGATTGAGAATGGTTTAGGATTTTATCTCGATCTGATTTCCTCCCGCCTTGCTCGAATTGCGATCGGCGGTGGCGAGCGGGCGAGCTTCACGTGCACTCGGGAAAGCGTCTCCTTACCTTTCTCTTCGGCATGGTGTCCCTTCTGCGGGTAGCCGAAGTAAGGCGAGACGGAAGCGGCCGCCGCGGTAGCTTCGGCTGCTGCGGCTTCTCTTGTCGCCGCCGCTGCCGCCGCACAAGCCTGCGCAGTTCGCTTCTCCGAAGGGACCTCACGGAACCTCCACAGTGCCTGCTGACCACAACGAGCAGCCTCCGGGGCGCTTGGTTAGGGACCCCGCTTCCTCCGCCGGCGAGACCAGAGCGAGCAGCGACCTCCGCCCGCTGCCACTACCGATCACCCACCTCGACTATGGAGAGGAGAGGCAGCTGTCGCCGGGGGGGGGGGGGCAGCTCTGGTTTGCGATTGGCTCCCCCATTCGGTAGCCCCCCCTCCTTGGCGCTGGAATATATAGAGAGCGCGGCCGAGGAGGATCGAGCGGCTCACGAAGGGAAGTCCTTGTGGTTCCGATGCGAGAGACGAGGTAGGATCCTGCGGTTGGCCGGCCGCCGACCGCTTTCGGATGCTGCAGCCGAAGGGGAAGCGGGGAACGACCGCCCGTGGGGGACTATAAGCAAATAATCTGGCTTAATATCCATGCAAACCAAGTGGGAAAGATCCACACGCCTGCATTTTGCGCAATCGTTATTCCAAGCAGAGGTCCTAAAAATGTTCCACCTTGTAATTGTTGCCATTATAAAAACGTTATAGAGATGATAAACGCCATAATGTTTACTATTAACCGTTACTGCAATTCTGTGCAAACTATGGGATATATTTTGCTGTAAATCTGTAGGACAGATTTCTAATCATCGCTGATCTTTTTTTTTTTTTGGTCTATTTATAAATTAGTATGCATTGGATTGGTTGTGCGCAACCTTCCTACCATACAGTTCAGAGGGGTATTGAACTATCATACTGTTAGTATTGGCTTTTCTGGAAGAAACAGCTATTTTGGTTCAATATTGGCTGCAACTCTAAAATATTACAGCAGTAATGTTAAGGGACTAGTTCATTGAGAGAAAGTAAAATAGAATAATTGCCTAGGTAATAGCCCTATCCTGAGTTCCCATCAGCTTTGTGATGCTGGGCTCTTCACAGCTCGTAGACGTTGCTGAAGGGGCATCTCTTCCTACAGCCTACAACTCAGCATAACACCAGCTTGCACAACACAGCCAACTCACTGTAGGTTAAGCAAACCGTGGTACATGCAGCCACTGTTTTCATCCTGCAGTCCCTAATATTTTTATGCAAATTAAACATCTCTGAACTTTTTTAGTGTAAGAGTGGCTCGTAAATGTTAATAAATAATAATAATGAATAGTTGCTTTTTATGATTGTAGGTTTATTACATCCTTGTTTGTTTTCCATTCATCATCATGATTTATTTTATTGTATATCAGTGGAAGGTTAAGTCTAGCTTAGTGGGTCTGAGTAGGCCAGCAGTAAATCATGTTCGCCACTGGTATTATAATTACACACATTCTATCCTAGATTTTTGAAAAATAGCACTTCACAGATCAGCAAATGAGACATGGGGCATCATACATCAAATTACGGAGGTCCAAACACCTTCCATCTCCCCTAATGCTGTGCAGGGCACCTTAAAGGCTAGATGATTTACCATGGCATCAGCTTTTTCTAGCTGGGACCTAATTCATCAGAAGCATAAAAACAACGATAGACCAGGAACTGCAACTGTTTCCTCATCCTGTTGCAGTGTTCTCTTGTTCAGAATGCCCGCCAGCCACATTTCCCTCCAAGATATTACACGTACAAGCTGCAAAGAGCTCAAGCAGACCATTCCACCAGCAGCAGCTTGTCATTTTTCTTTCCCAAGTGACACTCACCATTCTGCAGCTCCTAAGCATTCTTAATCTGCAGTGTGCAGTTTTGGAGGAATTTAGGGCACAGTGCTATATATGCTTAGATAGGAATATCTAGGAATATCTTCTCTGCAGTGGAGCCCTGATGTGGAATGCACTCCCCAGAGAGGTTCACCTGGTGCCCACTTTATTCTTTTTGGCGCCAGGTAAAAACTTTTTTATTTGCCCAACATTTTAAGGTTTAAAAAAATTTAACTTTGTTTTATCAATATTCTCAGTCGCATTTTGTTATTGTATTTTTCATGTTTACTTATTGTAAGCCATCCTGAGATGATTGGATTGTGCAGGACGGGATAAAAATTTTGTAAATAAAAAAAAAATGGCTTCTAGTTTTCAGCATTCCCCAGTCAGCATGGATTGTGCCCTTAGTTTCTTCTATTTGGGGGGGGGGTGTCACCTTGAGCTCAATTCAAGCAGGGGCCCATGTTTTCAGCCCAAAGAGCTACTTAAGTTGCCGATGTGATAGGGCTGCTGCATATGTGTAGCAGCTGCACAACTTCACCCAAAGGTCCTACTCCCTCTCCAGGTTTGTTGCAGCAGCAAGTTCGTGAGTGATCCATCGTTTCTGAGGAGCATTTGTGCTTGCCTGTAAGAAAGAACCCAGCTCCAGAAGCCTGTAATGCAATAGGTTCATCTTCCAAGGTAAGTTGCACAACTCATGATACACTGACAAGGTCTTAGCTGGGAGCTGGACCAACCAATGATGGCCTGCTATGTTTAAATATGAAGTTTATTTTTCTGCTGGGGCTGTGCTATTGCAGATGACTACAGGTATTCATCTGGTCTTCCAGATTTCTTCACTTTCCTCCATGAGAATTGCAATTTTAAAAAAACTTTCTGTGAATCATGCAGGTGCTTGTTCCTGTAGTTATATGTTAGGACTGTGACTTTCTAGAAGTTAGTCTACAGCTCCCATCATCCTTGACCATCAGCCATGTTGGTTGCATCTGATAGGACCTGGCATCCAACAACATCTTGACCACCTCTGTGATAGGATATATAAGCCATACTGTGCTCTGGATGATCACTGGAAGCATGTGGGAAAGTACTGGTTGGTTTCTAGTATGCAGTTAAACTGGTTGATAGAAATTAAACTTGCTGTTTGGACTGGTCCAGGCTCAAGTTGATGGTGTGGTGGAAACCATTAAAGAAATTGGTGGGCTCAAGGTTCCCTTTCCTATAAGTCCAGTTGGTGAAAATAAATGCTAATTATTACAGTAAGTACAACATTTATAGAAAAATGCTGAGCCTTAGTCTATGGATAATGTACTTTCCAATGGGATGCCACCAATTTAAATTAACCAACTAGCATTGGCACATGGAGATTAGTGACAGTTGCTCCAACATGGCTTGAGGAGGAAGGGTGTTGATTTAGCTATACTCCTGAAATTAGGTAATGCTAGAAATATGACTGCGATTAACTTTCTGAAATGGTTTTAATTGTTGTGAATGCTCTTTAATACATTCACATTAAAACTAAGTGCAGACACCGTGGTATCGGCATCAACCCACTTTTTCCTTCTCCCCCCCCCTTTTTTTTTTTGCTTTATTTACCATCATGCCTGAAAAGAATTCAGCAACTTGCGTACTGTTTTGGGACCTTTTGGTTGCCCTAATGATAGTGTTTCCCTTACAGAATTTGGGTAATTTTCTTAAGGCCAACATGGCTGGCTACCTTTGCCTTTTGTGTCTCTTTGATAAAGAGCACTGTGATTTCAGATTCAGTCCTGACTATGAAATGCTTATGTCCTTTACCTGAGTGCATCTGACTGGCCAAGCTGGTTTATACAATCACTTTGTGTCCAAGTAATAACAGACAGTTGTATTTATACTAGATATTATGATAACCAGCACCTGCCATGTCATGGACCTTAAAAAAGAGAAGTAATTTTTTTTAATCTATCAGCTCTTGAATCCCCCCCCCCACAAAAAAAAATTGCCTGCTCATTTGTAGACAGACAGGGAAGGGAAGTTGCATGTACAGAGAATGTGGTAACAGCCAAGTAAGAAAACTTGGGACATCTATTCTTACAGCTTTTTGATGTATTAATCTGTTTAGGGGGCCCTGTGTGTGTCAACTCAGAAATAACTCTCACTGAATTCAGTGGAATGCACTGCCTGGTAAGTATATATAAGGTCCTACCTTACATTGCTGTTTAAGTAACAAAAGGTAGCTTTTTATAACTTGTTCCCCACCCTGATACCCCACTTTCAATTGGGCACAATTAACAGGTTTTTCTTAGACATCTCTTCACCTAACTCTGCTTATGTTTCTAATTCATCCTTCTGATTTATTATCATGTTGTACATTTTGAAATAATTAGGTTCATACAAAAATACCTGGCAGTTTTTCAATGCCAACCCATCAAAAGTCAGCGTGCTCTGCATAGTTTGTCCTTTGCAAAGGACTGACTGTGCACACAAAACTGGGCTTGGCTTTTCCTTTCAGGCAGATGGGAGCAGCATGGTTCAAGAGAGGCCTACCATGGCAGAATTAGCACTGCAATCCAGGCTTTTATGCTGCATCTGTCATGACTGGCTCCCTGAACCCTTGAGATTTTCTGCTATAAACATAGGAGATGCTGGGGCACATGTTCGAGTCATGCTCAACTGCTGTCACACTAGTTAAAGAAACACAAGATCTCCAGCCAGCATTGCATGAAAGAGTCCACTGTGCGGGCCTCTTCACTGTAAGCAGCTCTAGAGGTTCTCTAATAGGATACCTGAAGGAACATCTCCTTCCTTATATGCCCTCACGTCCCTTAAGATCTGCAGGAGAGGCCCTGCTCTGGGAACCCTCCCTGAAGGAGATAGGATGTCTACTTGGAGTAGGGCCTTCTCTGTGGTGGCGCCCAGACTGTGGAATTGCGCTCCCCAGAGAGGTTTGCCTGGCACCGAGTTTATATTTTCAGCGCCAGGTGAAAACCTTTTTATTCAAACATTATTTTAAGAGCCACTGATTTTAAAAGTTAACAGTCACTTTCTTTTACCTAATTTTATCTCTTTGTATTTTACTATCTATTACTCCTGTTATTATTGTTCATGGATTGTTTTGATTGTTTTTCGATTTTAATGTTGTAAGCTGTCCTGAGACGTCGTAAAGGACGACATATAAATGTTTTAAATAAAATAAAATAATAAAATAAAATAAAATAATAAAATAATAAAATAATAGAGCTATGGAACATCTACTGCTGGGAAACCCAGTGAGGAACCTGCTGGTGCCACTCACAGTTCTATTCCCAGCACTGTGTTTATTTCTCTAAAATGCACCTGGGCCCCATGTGGTGGGGAGCAACTTGGGGGGAAGGGGAGGTAGACAGGGAGTAAGTATAGGAGCTGGGAAGGTTGACAAGGAGCATAGCAGAGTGCCAGGAAGCAGCTGAGGGGCTGGGAGCTTGGCCGGGAGGGGAAGG